ATGTGAACTAACTACTAATTCTGATTCCGGACGTGAAATGACATAACAAATTTTATTGGATATTATGGTTGCCCAATGATAGACGGATTGACATGGTTCTGGTTTCAGTTACGTTCCCGTTGTGGACGCTTGTACTTAATCGTTTTCTGACACCCGGGAACGTAACGCAAACGAAATTAGAACATCACGTTACGTTCCCGTTACGTACGCAAATCTTAAACTCTCTATTTAGTAAGTGGGTCAAATTTGAGAGGAATGCATGCTCAATTATCACCCTCTCGTAGACTGACATGCATCTGAATTAAGGCGCTGTGGAAATAGCAACTGTTATATTATTCTGTATTATATTTTATTTTCTGAATGTACAACACCTGGAAAACACAGAGACGGAGCAGTTATTAAAGTCGCATTGTTGTATGCATGCGTGTTTATAATACATTCTCGTCGGTAGAGATTTGTCTTGGTAATAAAGTATTCCACATATACAATCAACTAAATTTAAAAGTACAGTTGTTACAAAGCGACTCTTTTTACTTAGACTTGGTTGTTTTATACCAAAATTACGCTTTAAAAGAATATTCTCTTTGAACGTTTTCAAAGTCACCTGAAACGTTGAATTAAAAACACGTATGATGATTTACCTTAAGATGAGCTGTCAATCTTAAACCAAAGGTTGCTATATACATACTGTTTATAATGAAATCTAACAGATTCCACCAATCTTTCATATAATTAGGAACGCCTTTGTCCCATAATTGCTTTATTTCCGCCCAAATGTAACCTATAATGCAACCAATCAGGAAATGTTTAAAATAACATGTAACAAAATAATAGTTTCGTCATAAGCTATTGTTAATATTAATGAGGCAATAACGAAGCATCATAAATGTAATATAAATGTATAGATTTCCACATACATGGTCAAACATTTTATTTTGTTTATTTCTCGGAGTAACAGAAAGGGATCTTTGAAGAAAAGCATACAGCTGCCATTGCTATAACGATGACGTCACTCACCTATCACATACACCATGATGCACTTCTCTACTGTTGACGGTGGTGGCGCTCTTAAATCTTTTCGTTCTTTATAATACTCCATTTGTTGCGATGCCAACACCAATAATACTATGAACATCATATCTGAGGCACAGTGGTTGAGAAACTTGATAAATGGAAGACGGGCCAACCTGCCTAGTTTACTACACGGGACAATAAGATAAAACAAGGAAATTGCAGGGTATACCAGAGCTATACATATAATAATGATTGCTTTGACGCCTAACGGGTGACGTTTCCAGCCATTAAGACCCTGGTACCATAGTTCCGCCAGTAACTGCTGACAGTTTGGGTGTGCTACAAACTGAAATTGAAACAAATATATACATTACAGCTGGTGTCAAAATAATTAGATTGATTAGGGAACATATGACGTCAGACCATGGTGATCGACCAGGTGTGTCAATCTGTACTCGTACATGAAGCCAATTTAATTCGCTTGTCAATAAATGTGTACCTAATAAAAGTAAGTTGAGTGTGCAATTGGCGACAATAACAAAGATAGCCCCGTGTGCTCATACATTTAACGGTATGTCGTACATACGCCTACTAAGCTCTCATAGTTGTTGTTCAATTCGATGCGTAGATGTTTCAACTCCCTTGTGAGTGCCATGCAAATTGCGTCTACTTGAATATATTAGATTGTGTTTATTTTTAGCACAGGGAAATGTTGACAATTAAATGAGGTTAACGAATGAATGCATGTAATATTCTGCAGTGCATATTCGTTTTGAATACATTGGTTTAAAGTATAGATCGTAGGAGTCATCGACACTAATGATGTTTCCATTTTATTGAAAGATAAGAACATGGCAATGTGTTATGGTGATGCACTCACTGCCATGTTGGTGAATTGCAGTCGAATTTGAGGTTTCAAACACAAAATTCACTCGATGGCAATATTCACCGAACATTATTAAATACTCTGAGTTGCATCCACGTTGTAACGCTTTACAAATATTTTTAAAATTTAGATTTGATTTAACGTTTAGAAAAAATCCACAGAGAATTTGTGTAAAATAGTAAAACTCGGAGACGTTATATTGAGGCGCCATAAGTTTGTGGCCCTGTATTTCACTCCCAACAAGACTCAAAGCTGGGTGACATAACACCTCCGTGGATGTGTTGTAGGATTTTATTCCTCTAACAAACGAAACCCCCAGCTAGGGTGCACAATATCTTATTGAGTGTGTTTCAGGAATCAACTCCAGGAACACACTAGAACTCTGAGGTGAGAGATAGGTTTGTTTGACATGACTCACAGTCTTGCTATAAAAGAGTAGTGACGTCATTCTGTAACACTTATTTTACCTTTATCTACTGCATCCAGCTCGTGTAGATTCCCCAGCATCTATCTGTTTTCACAAGACTCAGGTTGAAACTATTCGTGCGAAAATTCATCAACACTACTTTCTAATTTCGGTTTACTCTAAGTATAATTTGCTCTTGTAAACAAACTAATTCAATAATATTAATATTTCATTTCGTATTTTTGTGTGTGAGTTCCAGTTATCTGTGTTGCATTCATAGAAATCGTTACAAGTCTGTTCCATGAATAAAAAATCAAACATGCACGATTTACACTTTGTTTTCATACTTATAAACATCTTCAATATGTCTGGAAATGTGTGCACTGTCGCCGAAACGTTTATTTATTCATTTAGATTCGCTGAGACTCACCGATTTTTGTCTGTATCTAACAGCAAGATTTAACCGACTCAGTTCTTCGTATCCAGTTGGCGATGTATGATCTCGGTTAAGTATTGTCCCCAGTTCTTTTGATCCCCTAGTTTGATCTAATAAATCCTCGGCAAAGTTTTTACACTGGTGTACTAGCTTTTCATAATCGGCCTTGAATTCATTTTCGATACGCGCCAGGCTCCGTAACTCGCCACTTAATTCAAATGCAGTCAGGATGGGATCATCGCATGTCAGAGCAATTAACGACGGGCTCGTTAATGCTTTATAAATATTCAATCTTGATCGAGAGTGCCTGAGTCCGTCGTGCTTAATGCTGCTTTTGCAGTCATTGCAGCCACATTTCACAGTATGTGGTTTGGGAATAGAAGAGCCACGTTCAATCAATATTTTTAATATTTCGTAATTGTTCTTGTGCGCTGCAAGCATGACCGGTGTAATGTCAGGAGTGAAGTCCGTTTCATTCTGATCATGAAGTATTTGTGCCTGAGAAAATAAATCACACATTATTCATTATTATATTGTTTCATTGGAAGATATAAAAATGCGTGGCCAAGTTTGTTACGGGTAAGTAAGCAAGAGAGAACATTTACGTGTTTCACTGATTGTTCTAGGGATACTACGTGTGCCGCCCTGCGTCGTTAAGACTCACATGACTTCCCATTGACATCTGACAAGACATCTAACGCTAATCCCAAAAGTACATGTAGTCAGGTAAAATAACGTGTGTGTCTGGTGAAAGGTCATATATATACTAAGCTTATAAAAATGTTCACCTTTTTTAACTGAGCTATCGCGATTACTCTATGGCTATATATATATTTTTTATTTTATGAAACATCTAAGTTTCCAAGCAATAGCAAATCGTACACTTACATTTCCGCTATAGATTCAGCATTGTTACACAGTATATCAACACATGCATGTTATTCAAACACTGCCGATCGCCGTGTTATCGTCTTTCAGGCTTTCCTGTCGTTCTGCCGTACATTGTAAACTGGTTTCAAAGCTTGTCATATTACATAAAATGTATCCAATTGAACATTGTATGACATTACTTAATTTGAACAAATCGAACTCCATATAGTCAATCAATAAGTATACCTAAAATGGCATTAAAATAAGTGAACTCAAGATATACGATAATATGGGATAACGTTATTTATCGTTTAAATGACGTGAGTATTATACACAATTATTTGCGTTTGCGCAATAAAGCCAATCATTTAAATTTGATACATTAGTAAAATTAATGTGTGTTAATGTACGTAGTGGTTACAACATGACCCGGGCAAATGTAATTCTTTTCAACAAAACCATTAGGTATGCATGACACATGCGCACAAGCAAATACTCGGCATAATGTCATTTTACATTTCCACGGTGAATTTAACTTGAATTAGCCGATATAGCTGTAATATTTTATTGGATGAAAACATTAACGAAAGGTCGCCTGGAAAAATATTATTAGGATATATAAAACTAAAGTATTCACGGCACGTAGCAGTGTGATATCCTAATATGAAAGCCCTTAACTAAACACGGTCTCGTCAAACCAATTAGGTGTGCCACTCTATGACACCGTTCATATTAGCAGGCGTTTCCATCCATTGTTAGCCAACTGATTCAGTATAAATTATTGTATCTCTAGTTATAGTCGACATGCGTACTGCATAGAACGGGACTAATACACAAAACATATATGACAACATATAATAGTGAGTTTAAATATTAAACCCGTTCTTCAGCCGTATACAGTATTGATAAAACACTGTAACCACACACGTGAACGTGTCAATCTGGTCGCAATAAAACCGCAATCTAAATAACCACAATACATGCAGATGCGTTTCTTCATTGTGAACGGGCTATAAGTCCCCCAGCCACGTATGTGAATTTACGATTTAAAACAATGAAATAAAAGACAGCCAACTAGGGCAGTATTTATTCTTTTGACATTAGTATGTTACAACAACCTCACTCACGTCTAGAGAATATAACATTAAAAATATATGGATTATAGAATGAAAGCCAATAATCTTGATGACGAATGCGGATTTATATTCCCGTCGTAAATTATATATTTTAGCGAAATTGACATTCTTAGATTTATGGTGATTAAACCCTGGTCTGATTGCTCTCGAGTTAAAGTATTGAATGGCATGTTCTACCTTGCCTCTAGGGACCGTCAGTGTAATATCACAGGTTTACAATTTCAGTGCATTTAGATATACTGCGTAAAATGAAGAGTAATTCACCTTTCACACTCTTTTTTTATTTCATTTCTTGGTCGGTGTTTGTTGTAATGTAATTCAAATCCGCAAAGGCAACTCTTCATTCTCACCCAAAGTCATAAGATGCATGTTTAACAGAATACAAAAACAAAGCAGCACTATTTGGTCAGCCCTGTCCATACCACCATACTTGTCACTGTTTTATCACAACGCCATTTGTAAGCGCAATCCTACGATTTGAATATCGTTAAACATTGCTCTCGCAATTTCACGGAAGTGACGAAAGTTTGCGACGGCTCATATCAGTTTAACTACACAGTACTATCCAAAAGGTGTTCTTTTTCTCCAATGCTTAATGCTCTACTTCAAATTGAAATCATTTCTCGTCATATCATGTTTTAAACGTATATCATCTTACCACTATACACAAAGGTGAGATGTAAATAAAGGCCTAAAATACTTGATTGGATTGTCTTAAAGCCGATTTACAAGCGATGACTCTCAAGGTAACGCAACGAACGACAATAACGGTTACACAAGACAGGCAGCTGAATGTGGCGATGGACGAATAGATGCCTGAAAAATCGAGATTTATTTTTTATTATTTTTTCAGGCGACGCTGCCAAATCTATCTTGACGCTATTATAGATTATATTTGAATGTGGGGGAGTATTCAGCATAACTACAAATGGCGTTACTTCAAAGACACCAGGTGTTGTTTAGGCAAAATGGTACCACCTATTAAGATAATTCTCATACCGTACAAAAAATTATATTCCACACATAAACACGAATCAGATCAATTGGCATCATGTGTGTTGTTCTAAATAAGTTTGAAAAAAAATGGCAAATGCTTCAAGTTACCTGCGAAATGTTAATGACATCATGATAAAGAAAAATATTGTGAAATGAAATTGTGAAAATTAGTCGGGTTGAATCAAATCACTGACGTGCATCAATGACCCATCACGCACGACAGTCAAGAGCAGTTCAAATAAAATTATCTCAGGCAAGCCAGAGAACGGCTGAACACATGTTCAAATTTGCTGTTACAAATTACAAATAATACAATATAGCTGCACCTTGCCCATCGAATTGCATGTTTTCACGCCGTGAATCAGAATGAAATGTCCGATTACGTAAATTAAATATGTGTGGTGTGTGTTGAAAATAAGCATTGTCTTTTCAAAGTTATCAAGTCATTGTATTATATTATATTATACAATACGCGACTAACTTTATGAACCAACTAGAGGCTTTGTGTTCTATGGCTGTTAGACGCGGCTAATTATATTATTTAAATAGTCACCAGAAAACTTGACATGTTGAGAATTTTTTTTTTGAGTGGAAAGAATATTTCACGTTTCGTTCTCAACTACTCTTAGTGTTGCGGCATTGTACTTATGTAACATTACCTAGTGCAGCATAGTCCAGAATAAAATTATTTCTACAGAACTTTGATATTTAGATTTAGTTCTGTTATCACATACATTTTGTCTTCACTTTTTGTAGTAGGTTTTTCAAGTAAAACCAATTGCAGAAAAATGACCGTGCGTAGTGAGGTGATTGAACACAAAATTGAAGGCTGCCTGTGGCAGAGGTATTATAGCGTAAAATTCAAAGGATGGGAAGGAGACTGTCAACATGTAATGCGCGGCACGAGTACGTACACTAAACATATACACTGCTTGTTATTCATCACAATCCGCTGAATCGCGAAATAGCTTAATTACCAAATGAATCAAAGCTGATTAAATACAACAGAACACACACTATGAGATTAAAAGAAATATTAATTGAAATGAATAATGTAAAATGAAAGCATTATACACTGACATTCACTGTGATAGTTTCCACAGATCGTGATAAATGAGACAAACGTGTTATAGTCGGAAACAGCTTTGATACAAAACTAACGTGCTATGTACCATACCAGTTGTGTTTCTCCAGGTGCATTTTAGTCTAATTAAATACCCGATAAGGCAAGACAATTATTTAATGAATATGTGTACGCTATCGGAAATCATGAATGCTCTTTACGTAAACTGAGTTGCAAAACTAGACGCTATTCATTCGATAGGCAATCACATATTTCCTACAAGAAGGAAGCTAGGAAAGGTTATTTAGGCTATTCTGTATTAGTATTCGGTTATTTTCAAAAGTATCACCGTACTTATAATCTCCCTTACGTGCATTTGAATAACAATTGGCGGGATTGTGGGAAAGTACCAATCTCATTAAAATCCAGGCTATATTTTTTGTTGTATGTTATATAAAGAAAAGCTTATTAACGACAAGTGAACCCCAAAAAATTGATAATTAAACGAACTGACAATTAATTAAATATGGTAATTAACTATAATTAACATACATAAAAATGTAACCTATACCTACATCGTATTCAAATTACAGTGGGAAGTACAAAATTTGGCGTGTGTGATCAAAACAACAACATACCAATATGCATTTGTTGTTGAAGGTTATAAGTTCACTGAATACAGAATTTCTGTTTATTAGTTTTTTTCGTCCATGTCTCATGTTCAAAATTGAGTTGTGATTATTTAAATTAATGGTATGTTTGAGTGCAACACAAGACCCTTAGTGCACCCAATTGGAGATTACTTTATGGACTATCAGTTAATCACATGATGGGTCGGCAACGGTAAAGGTTTCTATACAAAGCGGTGATTTACCTTGATGCTCACATATGACCTTATTTGGGAACAACATATTGGCATTATTAAATAATGACATTGAACTATATACCCTTCAGAATTAGGTATATTACACTGCACGCGGCCAGTCTAGATATTCAGTCTTATACGGGTTCTGCAATCCAATCCAACCCCAACACACTAACAACGGCCAGGCCAATCAGAGAGCAGCTTATTTGTTGATATTTGTATCGACGTATCAACGTCTGCCTTGTATATATGCTTCGATTCAACTGTAATGGGTTCACTGACAATTCACACTTTGTCTGTATGTTTCTTTCATTGATTGAATTGAAACTATTTCAATTCATCATCAATTTTATGAACATCTATAGTTCAACATTGTCTTTGCCTTGCAAAACAAAATTTCTCAAGTTCGCTTCTGGTTTCGAAGAAGATCCCATTTTTTAAAAAAAAGACATCGTTCGTTTCGTCTAAACTATTGCACTAAAGTTTTGTAGAGAACGACTAGCATTGACAATCAAACAGCTTTGTGGCAGATATAATTCGTTTTTTGTTGAATACAAAGACCCTGTTCCATAGATTATCTCAGATTATATGAGATCTGAATATCACTTGTCTGATGTAGATCTGCGGTTTCATTGAGAAACAATTTCATTGTGACTTAGAATGACATATGGCGGGCCACAAGTGGAGCAGGATGTGTTCACTTTTTTTTTTCAAAACACCTGGAGTCCATTTAATCCTCCTACCGATTTTGTTTCTATGACCGTTTTGTCGATTGTTGTCAGTTGTTTGTTTTTTGTTATTTTAAAATCTCATTTATTATTTACAAATACCTGGCTGGTTTTGTGATAACGACATAAGAACACTTATACGGGCGTGCCAACTAACAACAATAATTCAGTCGCATACTCGGTCATCCCCATGTTGCCATAGAAACAACGCATACATTGTAAAATTGATTAGTCTGATATTCCACCTCGAGTTCATATACGCACTAAGAGTGTATAGATGATAACTTGAGATTACAATATCTCTCTCAATATACGTGACATTTGTAAAAACACCGATAATATATTGATTAATTATGCAGCCCTTTTCTGTGGTGTATACTCCACGCCATTTTGTGTGCATTTATTCATTCTCGAAAGAAACACATCCTCGAATAAGTTAGTTCGAGTGGTCATATCCTGTACTGAGTGTCTAAACCTCTCCTAAGCATACTTCAAGTTGTCGCATTACATATGGTAAGAGCGAATTGGCGATAATACAGAGGTAACAATGGCACAGTGCGTAATCATGATGTTCGTGTTTTCTCTGTATATTGTATACAACAAGGGAATGAAATATTGATACACACTGCTTGAAGCTACATATACATTTATAATTCGGTGCGTATACACAGTCCACTATATCTTTTACGGGGTGGATGTTTAATCTCGGATCCTCTCTCCCTGGATTCCTGGCACTGATTGATTATGTATGCTAGATTCGCTACTTGATCAACGTTTTTCGACCATTGTTACAAGCAAAAAATATACAAATACGAATAATATACATAATTTATAAATAAGCGTTTAATTTATAGTAATCATTCAATGTGTGGTAAAGTTATAGTAATACCATATTTGTTACCATAGAAACATTCATGTTAGTCCCTTAAAAATATCAACTTTTCAATTTGTCATATTCCGGTGCATACTGTTTTAGTGGATGGCGAAACTGTACTAGGCTACTGGTATAGATTTTGTAATGATCTTCGTTTTCTGTGAGATAGTTCAAAATTATAAAATTAACAGTATTGCCATCTTACCAAGCACATTGAATTAAATAATTAAGGGATTTTAAAGTTTTTAATTGTGGGTTTGTGGGTTTACTGTTAACATAGTTTGAATATGATATTTGATGTTTGTTCATGTATTAAAGAGAAACAGAAAAAACGACACAAAAAAACTGCGTTTGGAGAGAGAAGAAAAAGTTGCGTGCTAAGCAGTAACAGTCATTTCCAGCATGGTATTTCTGAACCTCTATTTCAATTCGATTCAAACATTTCTCACCACGGTGTTTTTTCGTGTTTTGTTGTTGAAGAATAGTTGCATTACTAGTTTAAGGAAGTATTTGTGTTTCATAACCTGCGTGTCGACGGGGTGCTCGAGTAGTTACTGCCTGTGGATTGTTTCTCAGTTGGAGAATGTAGAGATTTAATGAACGTCACCTACATAAAGTGGCTCATTATAACACAGTTGTTGCCAACCACGGTTCAAAAGATGCTCAATTATAATATTTTTTCGTTTCGAAAGCCTACTAAAATTAAGTGAATTGTCCATACGTGCCAAAGTATGTTACTGCATCCAAATATATCATATATTTATATGACGTGTTGTTAAGACGATGGAAAAGTATTACACGCATGTCATTAAATCTTTCAATGTTTACGGTATATGAACAATCAGTGAATGTGATGAAGTGTCC